AAATTATCTTGGACATAGTAGTTATCTAAGATTTTAAAATGCGGTGGCAAATACTTTAATAATATAAATAAATAAATACCACATAATTTATCTTCCTTGAAAATATACATTTTCTGGGAGGGGTTGATATATTTTTTTTTCTTATAGAGGGTATATCGTTTGATTTTCTTATTGCTGTGTGAAAAAAATGTCTGACAAAAAGGGACTTAAGGAGGGAAGGCTTCATCTGGCTCAGAGTTTGAAGGTCAGTCCATCAGCGTGGGGATGGATGTTGCATCTGTGGTCAGGAACCAGAGTGAGGTTAACGATGATGCTCAGCTTCCATCTCTTTTCATTCAGTCTGGAACCCTAGCCCATGGAACAGGTTCTGCTCATGTTCTATACAGGACTTCCTGCCTCAACCAGCCCAATCTAGAAATGTGCAGGAGTTTGTCTTCTAGGGCATTCTGAATCTTAACAATCATAGAGGGTAGAACCATTGTATTGATGAAGTTCCAATGAAAAACATTTATAAGTTAAAATCTAGAATTAGATCCGTTGTTGAGTAATGCAAGATCCAAAAGAGAAAGATTAGTAGTGAAATCTAGAGGAAAATAAGGTGACAGGTAAAAAAAAATTCTAATCATTTGAAGAAGAAAATATATATTAATTTTTTTTTATATTCAGGTTTTTAATGGCCCAAATTGGACTGGTCTTCTAGTTAACGTTCACCTTGATTTTGTATTTGCCTTCAATATCTTCTATTTTGTAACTACTTTCTCTTCTAAAGATCCCAAGTTAGAAGCAGGTAAGAGAGGGAATATTAATTTACCAACAAGAAGCTTATTGTATGGCCATTTCAATAACAATCAAATTTTTATGTGATCATGGATCATGAGTTTTAATAAATAGGAATATTTTCTTTCTTTCTTTTTTTTAATAATTTGGTGATTAAAAGCATAGAAGACAAATATGAGCATCTTCTTAATCCCAGAATAACTTTGATGGCTGGAATATAAGCTATCCAATAGATGTCACTAGTTTAGGCATCATTACTAATCAGTTATTTTCCTTAGCTACAGTTGCTTAATCTCTACTGACAGAATTATACTTTTTCTGAGTCTCTAATGTGTCATTATTCACTGGGGGATGAAGATGTCAAGTTTTCTTGAGAACCTGTTGCTCATATTCTATTGCCTGATGATTATGAAATGATTCGTCATTGCACTGATATATAAGACAACGGCCTAACAGAAGTGTGCTGTTTGCAAATAATGAAAAGCTCGTGTTGAAAAGCTCATGTTGAAGCAGTTTTTTCATCAGTGAAAGGGGGCCTTAGTTTTTAGGGTTGCTATTCCCTTACATTGTTCTTTCTAAATGTACTTCCCATACACAGCTGAAAATTGAAGTCTTTGGGGGAAGTACCAGATGTAAGGCAAATGGTCAAGTTGGGGGCTAAGAAAGCAGTAATCAAGGACTCCCACAACCTCCACTGCATGGTTTGTGGGTACGGGCATGAAGCCAGGATAACTGCATTAAAGCCTTTAAGTCTGGCTCTCCAGGGACCTCTCCAATTCCAATGAACTAGGGCTGCCATGTTATTTATTAACAACTTTCTACACACTAGTGAAGGTACTGGCATGCATACACTGCATTCTGTCTTTTGTTTGTTACTTGTAGACTTTTTTGCTTGTTTTGTTTTGTTTTTTGAGACAGGGTTTCTCTGTGCAGCTTTGGAGGCTATCATGGATCTCGCTCTGTAGACCAGGCTGGCCTTGAACTCACAGAGATCTGCCTGGCTCTGCCTCCCGAGTGCTGGGATTAAAGGCGTGCACCACCACCACCACCACCACCACCACCACCACCACACACACCACCACCACCACCACCACCACAACCACCACCAACACCGGACATACTTGTAGACTTGTAATTCTTTGTGGATCAACTATGAATTACATACTTTTTTGTAGTTTGGGGATAGTTTATTTTTTCCTGTTGAGTGATTTAAAAATTCCTTAAAACAACTAGAATTCTTTTCATTTGTTTCTAATTTCTCTCTCTCAACCTAGGGATTGCTTGTTTGTTAAAAGACAGGAATTTGATGAGGTAGTGAGGAGACTGGCCTGAAACTCCTGAGCTCAAGTGATCCACCTGTCTCAGCTTCATGAGTTCTACATTTTTTTTTCTTTCTTTCTTTTTCTTTTCTTTTTTTTTGGTTCTTCGAGACAGGGTTTCTCTGTGTAGCTTTGCACCTTTCCTGGATCTCGCTCTGTAGACTAGGCTGGCCTTGAACTCACAAAGATCCGCCTGGCTCTGCCTCCTGAGTGCTGGGATTAAAGGCGTGTGCCACCACCGCCCGGCTGGCATGTGCTTTTAATCCCAGCACTCCAGAGGCAGAGGTAGGAGAATCTCTGTGAGTTCGAGGCCAGCCTGGTCTACAAAGTGAATTCCAGGACAGCCAGGACTACACAAAGTAACTCTCTCAAAAAAAAGAAAAGAAAGAATCCTAAATTTTTTTTAACATCTTCTCCTCTCTTTGTACCAGAAATGTTATCATTTCTTCAAATTAATTTTATCTTTACTTTCATTTTATAGTAAATAAAAAGGAATACTTACAGATTACTTTTTCCTCTTTAAATATGTGCCTGAAGAATATCATAACTAATAACTAAGAAGTTTATACAATAAGATAATGTGATGGCATGATCAGGCATATGCTTTTTATTTTTCCAAAGGTCATATGGTTAACAATACCCACTGATAACTAATTTTAATATCAAAATTAAAATAAGCTATTATAAATTCACATTGGATTTAATAATTCAATTCTTTCTACCTTATCGATAGAAACTGTCTTGAGAAATCACTGAAATTATAGATCTAGAAATGAAGCATTCCATCAGCTATCTTTGCCACAATACCAACATAACACTTTCTTTACTCTCCTGCCCCGTCAAGTAACAGGGATGTTATAATGAGGTATTGGTTCATATACTGACCTCCGTGAAGGACAGTTTCTACTGAGTTTAAAAGAGCTATCTCCATGAACTACAGCTAAGTACCCTAAAAAGTTCTATACAAATTTTAATTTTCAACACATTTTTGGATAAAAGAGTACTTATGTTCTTTGAAGTTTAGAGAACTGAGTAAACTAATTTAAATATGTCACCCTGATAAGATCTCTAAAAGCTGCAATAAATCTGGTCTCTTCATTTCCAGCAAAACTTCTCAGATTTTAGCAAACTGAGGGTTGTTTTCGTATGTCAGAGCTCAAGAGTGGCCAGTGTTTAAAAATAACATCCTTGTCCTCCCAAAGAGGTAGCACATGCCCAGCACTTGGGAGGCAGAGGCAGGAAGCTCTGCCTCAAGGCCTCTTTGGTTCAAGAGAACAAGTTCAAGGCCACTTTGGTTTAAGCAGGGAGCTGGGGCTACACCGGTCTTAAAGAAAAAAAAAAGAATGGTCTTATGATTTTTGGTTGTAAAGTAGCTACAAGATGGTAAATTCAATGGCACTTTCAGAGCCACTGACCTACTCCAGGAAGAGGTATTTACTCACTCACTGTACATGGTCCAAAGCAAACCAAGTAACAGCATGGCTCTAATAAGAGCCTTAGAACACTCAAAAGAGCTACACATATTTAACACAGTAGGCTCTACATCTTCGGAACCCATCAGCTGATTTCACGTTCCATGTCTCAAAAGTTTAAATGAACTCTTCCAGCCTTGAACCACAGCAAATTCAGGACAACTTGGAGTATGTTATTAATTCCTAACCTCTTCTAAAAACCGACTTTACTCTGGACAAGTAACCATCCCTGATGCTGCTGTTGAAGACGGAATTTCCGTCTAAAAGATCATCTTTCTAATTCAATCTGGCTTGCTGTCCTGTGCTAGTCAGTCACTCTCGTTTCTCTTAAATTTCACTGTTGTGACTATAGTGGCCAACATGTATTTTCAAGGCTTTTAACGTGATTCGTTTTCTCCGGTCACACACCTCTTCTGACGCTGGATCGCCCTAGTTTTCTCCCCTATCGCCCTGGTTCCATTAAGATTCTGCTAAACGTTAGGCACACACAGCACATGACCTCCAGTCATCCAGGATTTCCACACACCGGTACTGAACCCGTGCGAATGCTCCAGGCTTGCGATTGAAAACCGTCCTTTGGCTTCTCAACTCCTACCGAACCTGCAGCGTGAAATTTAAATTTGAAAAAAATTTCGAAATCCAGAACCCGCTCCCCTTTCTCTCACCCGTAGCCCCGCCCACGAACCCTCTTTCCACCCCCCCCTCCCTCAAGCCTCCACGCGAAACTGCAGGAAACCGGAGGGGGCGGGGCCGGGCGGGCGGTGACGTCACGACGCCGGCGCGTCACGGAACGGCGGCGGCTGCGGCGCTGGCGGTGGCTGCGGCAGCGGCGGCAT